CGCTGGCGGGATGCCGCAGACTGCCGTTCATTTCCAGGAGGCGTCCGCCCTGCGCCCTGCGCCCTGCGCCCTGCCGCCCCCTGGGGTACCAGCAAAGCTGGGGTACGTGCCTCCTCTCCAGATTTGGGAAGGTGCAGGGCTGGGGCCTTGGCGGAGTCCTGATCAGCCGAACCGGCTGCGCCCCAGGGGACACAGGCAGCAACGCTCTGGTCAGTCACGTACGGGACGCGATCTATCAACACCACACCCAGTCGGGGAGAGCTACGATCCAGGAGAAAGATCTGCAAACAGCCTGCTCCAGCACTTGGCACCACGTTGCCTCCCGACTCCGAAAGCCTCACCCTTCGCAGCCGCGGCTGCGGGATGTAGGGAAGCTGCGGCAGGACCTGCGCGCATGATCCGGGCTGGCCGGCACCGTGGCGGGGACCGTCAGCAGAGGGCGCTGGCGGGATGCCGCAGACTGCCGTTCATTTCCAGGAGGCGTCCGCCCTGCGCCCTGCGCCCTGCGCCCTGCCGCCCCCTGGGGTACCAGCAAAGCTGGGGTACGTGCCTCCTCTCCAGATTTGGTCCCGGGGAACATGGCGCAATGAACCCACAGCGGCGCCAGCGCAAGTGCCCCAGGCACTGTAGTGAGCAGCTCCGGTTAGTTTTACTAGCATCGCCCTGTGTGGCCTCCCGGGAGGTTCCACTGGCACCCCGGCCGGCTGCCCAGCCAGCTCCACCCCACCCGGGCCAGCTGCCCAGCCAGCGCGCTTACTAGCGGGCCCGTGGCACTCAGTGAACCCCACTGTCCCGTGGCCGCGGTCACACCCACGCCATGAAGAGCTGGGTCTCTGTGGGGGGTTGGGATGGCGGAAGGAGCGGCGGTAGTTCCAACCGGCTTCCGTAGGTCATTCGCCTCAGCCGGGAGGTGGTGGCTGCTCCTGAGAGCTGCTCCTGTGGCGTGCTTTAGCTGTCTCTACCCCGTCTGACCCTAGTTAAAAATTACTCACCAATAAACTGATAATAAGTGATATTCTGTTAATAGTTAATTTTTTGCAATGAGGGGCCGGCAAACTTTTCCATAAAGAGCCATGTAGTAATAAATATTTTAGGCTCTGCAGGGCCTGTGGTCACCACATCTCCTGTTCCACCTCCCGGGACAAGACACAAGCCGAGGGCTGTGCTGGCATTTCGCCAGACTGCCGACTCCTGCTTTGTATTACGCGTTCCCCGTTCAAGTTAACTGTGTGGTTTCTACCTCCTCACTGGACCCTGACGGATGTAAATTCTATGTGACAAGCATAGTAACAGACATGCATAGGGTACTGGCAGCGCAGGGGAGGGAATAATCTAATAAGGTGGGGGGCGGGGGATGGGCTTAGTATCAGGGAAGGTTTCAAAGAGATGAGAGATGATCTAGCACTGAAGACTCCTGTACCACTTCACTATGAGACGTGAGGAAAGTCACTTAATTTTTCTTTCAGTTTTGTCGCCCCCCCAAAAATGGTGGTACGAGTTAGGTGTCTTGCATCCTAGGACAATCGGAAGGAACGTGAGACGATTATGCAAATGTTTTATAAACTGTAATGTACGGTACAAGTAGACTTACAAATCATTTCATTTGTTATAACTTATTAGTGTCCGAAATGGAAGTGCAACCCACGCGAAGCTTTTTCGGTTCGAGTGGCGAGTCCCTTCTTGATTTTAACACGGGGAAACTAGGAGCAGAAGCACTAAAAGGAGTCGGCTTCGGATACCGCACTCCGAGCTGTTCATTCAGGTACGGTGGTTTCTAAGGCCTTTTATATAAGAGGGTTTGGGGGCAAAAAAAATCCAAAAGCTCAATTATCCTAGATGTTCTCATTGTTTAAAGTTTCCTTTTCCCCTTGTTTGGCTCACTTAAAGCATTACAGAAAACTTTCTAAAACACGGAAAGTCCAAATTTATAAAGGGAGTGTTTTACAAAAGCTTAGCCTAAGTGGATTATGTGGAAACCAGGCCACATTTGCCCCATAAAAAAACCAACATGATTTAAGTGGTAGTTAAATTCTCAGGCTAAGACACAAATACCTCTTCAAAATATGTCATGGCTTAATCACTGGGATTGCCATCGAGAGAAGGGAAAAAGGAAATGTGCATTTTCCCAGATGGCCCTTTGAACGTATACATATAGGCACAAGTCGGCTGTTTGTAACTGAAGAGTACTGAGGCCTCTTGGTTAAAACGGGGATACGTTTTCCAAAATCTCCATCTGGATGGATCCCTGTTAGATGGAAGAACCTGCCCCGATATGTAATACAGCAGGTGACGTGATGGTCACACTCAGCAAGGGACGACCGACACCAGACTGCCAGGGAGGGAAAGCAGTCGGCAAGGGCCGGAGCACCTGCAACTCCTGTGTCGTTGGAGTAAAAGGCAAAAACCAACAAGAACAAAAATCACGCAATACAAAATTCACTGTCAGCACCATTTTTAAAGTGTGCCGTTCAAGAGTTGACTGTGACCACAGCGTGTGTTAACATCTCGACGACTTCTGCATCTCGTGACGCGGACACCACGCCATCAAACGGCTGCCCAGCCCCTGCTCCCCAGGCCCGGGCACTCACCATCCTGCTTTGTTGCTGTGACTGTGACTCCTCCTGATACCTGGCGTATGCGGACTCGTGCAGACTTTGTCTTTTTGTGTCTGGTGACAGCACTCGGGGTCTATCGTGTGGTATGTAGTATGTGACGTTCAGTGTCCTTTTTCAAGACTGAATGATATCCTATGGTGCGTATACATCACATTTTATCTTCTTACCTGTCGATGGACACTTGGGCTATGTCCAGTACCTGTGACACCAGGTGGATGCGTCAATGGATAGGACACTTGGGAAAAGAGAGTGAATAACCTACAGTCGGCGATGTGTCTGTGGGTGAAGCAAAAGGCCCGTAAAAGACTTCATACCAGCACCATGCGTTAAAACGCCCAACCAATCAAACACATGATGGAATCCCACCACGCGTCTCTCCGCCTCGAGAGTACCGGCATCTGGGACCGGACAGTCCTTTGTCGCGGGGCGTCCTGGGCACCGTAGGACCTTTGTCACAGCAGCCTGGGCTCCACACGCTACATGCCAGTCGCACCCCGAGCCCCACGTTGTCACCACCAAAAACGTCTCTAGATATTACTCAACAACAACAAAGAACTCACCCCCACTGGTCAAGAAAAAGGGTAAAGCATCTCAGCCATTTTCAGCACCGTGTAACAAAAAGAAAAGACGACACTTCTACAAGCCCAGGTGACCCGAGGCACCGTGGCAGGAGGCAGGCAGCCCCTGCCTCGCACAGGTCAGCCCGTCTGGTCTGCAGCGGCCATGCAAGAGGCCAGCCAGTCGGGTGAGGCAGAGCCGCTGTGCTCAGTAAAGGCTCACCACTGCCACGCGCAACAGGACTTTGGTTCCGGACGGCACCAGCCCTGTGCCAACACCACCCACCACCACGGAGAGCCCTTTCTGCCCAGAGAACACGTCTTGCTTGCCTCCAGACCTTGGCGACGGGGTCCCCTCTGTTTCCACCCCGGCACTGCCACGTGCGCACACAGCACCTGGCTCAGCCCTGATCATCGTTTGGGTGCCATGCCAGGGCCCCCTGCCACCACGAAGGGACCCGACGCCCTCCTCCCAGCCTCCCCGAGAGCCGGGTGCCTCGGCAGTCCCGGCTCTGAGCCCTGTTTGTGGCTCCTGCTTCTTTCTGCCTCTAGCCACGCAGCAGGCTGGCGTCGCTCACGGGACAGAACCCAAGTGGCAGCTTTCGAAAACAGAGCAGTGGGAAGGGACATGTAAGCGCCGCTTAAACAGACGATCGGCATCGCTTAATTCTGCCGTTTTCAGCGTGGAAAAAGCCATCCGAAAGAGCTGACAGGCCGTCAAGAAACAGGAACGGGAGCCTCCGGAGGGACCCGGGACAAAGCGTCTCGGCGTCTCAGAACACACGGCTGTTCATTCTCCGTGGATCTTCCCGGCCTGCTGCGATTTCAAAGCACCCGCGACTGGTCCTTCAGATGACGCCGCTGCCACCACGGCACACGGGGCGGCGTTGCTCGGAGGGACCGTGGCCAGGACCGTGTCATCGCGCCTCCCGTGGGTCACCAGGCCCCTTCACCTCTATATTGGGTAAAACACGCCTGATCTCAGCCATCACCGCGGCTGGCTTTGAAAAAAAAAAAAAAAACCAAACCTCTTTTCTGTGATGTTGCCACAGACTGAATGTTGTGTGTCTCCCCCAAATTCACATACTGCAACCGAATCCCCACTGTCATGGTGGTAGCAGCCGAGGCCTCTGGGAGGTGATCCGCCCATGGGGAGGAGCCCTCATCGATGGGACAAGTGCTGGTTTCTCAGGGAGACCCCAGAAAGCACCCTTGCCCCTTCGCCCGCATGAGGACATAGTGACAAAACAGCTGTCCCCGAGCCAGGAAGTGGACTCTCAGACTCCGAATCCGCCAGCACCTTCATCTCGGCCTTCCGGCCTCTACAAGTATGACAAATGAGTGTTTGTTTCTAAAACAGTCCATGGTATTTTTGTGACACCAGCCCAAGCGAATGGAGATGGACACGAAAGGCCCAGGCCGAAGAGCCTAACTCAGCAGCGCGCGGGGACACGTGAGGCTCTGGGTTCCACACGCACGTCGGGAAGGGGCCCGGGAGTATAAGAGACAGCCCTCAAGGGACCCCAGGAAAGTGGCGAGGTCCCCCCGCCCCCCGTCTGAAGGTCCAGCCACTACCCGGTGCCAGCCACTCACAGCCCTGCGGAAAGCCACACCCAGTGTGGGCAAATCTTCCGATTTTTTAAAAAGAATCTGCAAATCTGGATTTTTAGGTCTGCTCTCCTCCCCCCTGTGTCCTCAAGACTAGCCATTCGTTGGCTTTTAGGACTAGGACAGACCGCAGAAAAACTCTGTCGGAAGTGACACGTGCGTCGCCCCAGGGGGTGGCCTGTGGGCTGGGTAATTCCGTCCCGCACGCTGCTGCGCCCACCTTCTCGTGTGCTGGAACCCGCTGTCCCCTGCGGCAGCCCTGCCACCGAGGCCGCCTCATCGCCGTCCGCTGTGTTCTTCACGTCAGCCGGGACATTGCCAATAGGCTGCCCTCAGGTCCTCAGCCCCCCCAAAACTTCCTCTCGTCGGGCACTTCATCCAAGTCCCATGTTCTCCAGGGTCCCTGGTGGCATCTTCCAGAAGCAATGCGCTTCACCGCCAGAACACAACAGCCTCTGGTGGCCGACAGCCCCGCTCCCCCTGCAGCTGGCCGGAAGAGCCACGTCGCCCTCACAGGGACGGCTGGCTGTCACAGTCCTGACAGTGGGCACAAGCAGATGGCAGCTGGAGGCCGCTCGGAAAAGCGTGGTCTGCGCACCCCAGGGGCAGAAACACCTGGGCCTGCCCTCTCCCCTTTCGTCTGCCCGGGAACAAAGTCACGTGCTTGCGGAGGCGGCAGCTGCCCTGTGACCCTGGGGGGCACACCTGAGGCATCCCAGAGCAGGTCGTGAGAGCCACGAGCCGAGCCAGGCGGGACGGGCACAGGGGCTGGCTGTGCAGGCAGCCGCACAGCGGCCGCGTTCCATGGAGGCGCCTGGGCCCTGGTCCTTGGGAAACCGGAAAGACCCCTCAGTACTGCAGAATGTGTCACAATTCTTTTTAAATCCCGCTCATTTCCCCGTAATGTCTGTAATTTTTAAAAATCGACGCCAAACCGAATTGGTTCTAAACAGAAAAACCCTGTTAGTTCTTGTAACTAAAAACAACTATTGAAAGGTATAATTTATTACCACGCTGAGAGGCAGGCTGAAAAAGAAAAAAAAAAAACCCATAATGTCTGGCTGTTTTGGTTTTTATTTCACAGTGAGACACGTGGCATCCGCCCCCAAAAATATACCTGCTACGACTCGTAACACTCCTCATCCGATGCCTGCAGCCATGGCTGGGAACACACGGGGAGAAGGCGCTCTCTACAAAAACGCCATGGAGGACGGGAGCGAGGGTTGGATACTGGTAAAATCTAAGTTTAAAGGCCATGGGACTAACTACATGAAAGTGAGTTTTCAAGACGCCAAACACACCCTCCATCTCATCAGTAACGTTATTATTTCTCCACTGTGAACCGAAGCCAGAACCAAACCAAAAGAGCCCAACTGTTATCTAACGGATAACCCTCCTCTCTCCCCCCAAAAATAGAGAGAGAGAAAGAGAGAGAGAGAGAGAGAGAGAGAGAGAGAGAGAGAGAGAGCACTTAAAATTGATGCTACTCCAGGCGTGACAAGACCGCACACTAAACCTGTTGCCGGCTTTTCCCAGCAGCCAACTTTCACAGGTAAAATCTTTTGGGAACGTGATGTTTATTTCTCTTGAGTTCATTCATAGCTTAGGGGGAAAAAAAAATGCAAACATTTTTAAAGTCTTAAAAAAAAAAAAAAAAAAGACTCAAATGAAAAAGGCTGAATTCTGACAGCCATGCTGGAGCTTCGACCACAGAACGGTCACACTTTTTGGTTGTGTTTGGGGAGACTGCAAGCTTTGACCAGGATGTCAGAATTTACTTAGTAGCCGGCCTCGGCTTCTTCCCCAGTCAAGGACTGAATTATTCCCGCAGTCAACTGCAAACGGAGTTTATTACGTGCCTAGCTTACTACGGGCAGCAGTGTGCCCAGCCAGGCACAGACACAGGAAGCGCCTGACTCGGCTGGAGCCGTCCTCTCCCCCTGGGTCCTGACGGTTCACAGGCACCATGGCAACGCTCCAGTGTCAAGGCCATGTCTGAAGCTGGCCGCAGCCCGGGTTCATTCCGTCTCCTGGGCTTTACGTCTTCCTTTCAAGGGCAGAATTGGATGCAAAACGACATTTACCTATTAGGACGGAAATGGAAATTTGTGGGGTTCTTCACATCGCTGGGCACGAAAATGGGGGAGGCGCCATCTTCCGTGACTGACTACAAAAAAGTTTCTGCCCAAGGATTCTGAAGACAAAACCAGGTAGCTGAGTGACAGGTTTCAAACGCAGCTAACGTCTCCAACACCTCCGGCACAAAAAAAAGGCTCCTTTGCCATACGTTGAAGGCAATCCTAAGACAGGATGCTTTCTTTTTTTAAGAAAAAAGTAGACAGTCTGTCACGATGTGATTTTTAAAGTAAAATTTAAATCATCGGTACCTTTCAAAGGAAAAGTTAAATCTTAACGTTCTTTAGAGAGGCCGTTGACCATT